ATAATAATAATATTATTAATATATAATTACATGCCAAGGCAACATGAATGTCACAGAAGAAACAATTCAAATATGAAACAATTCGATATGCAATGTTTGATTATCGTAATCGATCTTTCAGTAATATAATAATATCCTAACACTGATAATAAAATAACAATAAATAATTTATCTTTCAATTACATAATATCCTAACACTTTGGTAATAAAAATAATAAAAATAGTCCTTGACTGTGATCAATTAATGATTGATTGATTCATAACCCTTTCTGATGATTAATGGTTTGGCCAACATTTAATTGTTAGTTAGGAAACCCCTTTAGTTTTACCATATTGCAGTTGTATATGGTGATTTTAGTTTGAATATTATTCAAATTATCATCATTTGTTTATTTGAATTATTCGTTATTTAAACTATTTGAACTATTTGAACTGCTCGAATTATTCATTTTATTTGAATGAACTTTCAATGTAATTCGAATACTCAAATTCATAACAAATAAACAAATAATTCGAATAAACTTATTTGAATAGAACCCTAATCAAGCAGTGTAGTTGTATATAGTGATTTTAGTTTGCCAGATTTGGTGATTCCATAATAATAATAAATAACTCGGATTGCACGCAATATTTATAGGCAGTAAATAGTTACGGCATTACGGTTTTACGTTTACGACATTTTAATGACTTTAGGGTGTCATGCCGAATTTATTTACACAATGCTGAATTGTTTATATTTATAATTCAGGTACACAATCATAAAATTGCACATGTTTGTGGGCGAAAAAAATTTTTTTTTGACAGTATAATTGTTTGAACCTTTTTTAATATTGTCCTTTAATTATCTGCTCCAAAGTATTTTGCTGGGTGTTTGAAAAAAACCACAAATAAATTTTAAAGATGGAAAGCACTTTGGATGAAAATAAACATCATGACAATACTTCTACTGACAAAAATGAAGAAGAAGAAGATCTACATAAAAGATATAAATTGTATGGGGAATGTCCAAACTGCAATAGATATAACACTGATTATTCATGGTGTCAATCATGTGATCCAAAGCTATTAACTGAAGGATGGACTAGTGGCAATGAAACATTAGATGAGTTGATTAAAAGTACACAACTTAAAGCAATTGGTTATGGTAATTATGGTTATCTTCAGTGGATTCCTTATAATGAGTTAACAAGTATTGAAAAGATAGGTGAAGGTGAGTTTGCAACTATATACAAAGCTACTTGGTTAAATGGTGTTAAATATCTTTATAGAAATGAAAGAACTAGTGAAGATAGGACTGTAGCATTAAAAAAACCACATAATTCACAGAAGATTTCTAATGAATTTCTTAATAAGGTAAATTATTTTATTTTTCTATTTTATTTTCAGGTTTTTTAAATATTATTCTGAAATTCAGTATATTTTTTTATATAGTTCAGAAATTATGTTACATTTTTTGATGAACCATTTATAAATAAAATTTATGGATTAACCCAAGATCCAGCTACAAAAGAATATATCTTTGTAATGAGTTACATGGAAAATAGAAGTCTTCAAGATTACGAAGATCCATATATTAGAAAAGAGGAATATGGGAAATGTCCAATATGCAATAAATATAATACTTATGATTCATGGTGTCAATCATGTGATCCAAAGCTATTAACTGAAGGATGGACTAGTGGCAATAAAACGTTAGATGAATTGATTAAAAGCACACAACTTAAAGCAACTAAGTATCATTACAGTAATCATCTTCAATGGATTCCTTATAATGGTTTAACAAATATTGAAAAGATAGATGAAGGTGAGTTTGCAACTATGTACAAAGCTACTTGGCTAAATGGTTATAAAAGTGTAGGTTATAATAATGAAAGAATTAGCAAGGATATGCCAGTGGCATTAAAAAAACTACATAATTCACAGAATATTTATGATGAATTTCTTAATGAGGTAAACTATTTTATTTTTCTATTTATTTATTTTCAGATTTTTTAAATATTATTGAGTATTATTATTATTATTATAATTAAATATTTATTGTAGCTCAAAAATTATACAAAGTTTCATGATAAAGTTTATATTTATGGGTTAACACAAGAACCAATCACAAAAGAATATATATTTGTAATGCCATATATGGAAGATGGATGCCTTCAAAATGATGAATATTCAAAGGAAAGAAAAGAAAATTATGAGGAATGTCCAACCTGCAATAGATATAATACCAATTGGGTATGGTGTCAATCATGTGATCCAAAGCTATTGACTGAAGGATGGACTAGTGGTGATGAAACATTAGATGAGGTGATTAAAAGCACACAACTTAAAGTAACAAGATATGATAATGATTATTATCTTCAATGGATTCCTTATAATGATTTAACAAATATTGAAAAGATAGGTGAAGGTGGGTTTGCAACTATATCCAAAGCTACTTGGTTAAATGGTAAGAAGTATCCAGATGATAGAAAAAGATATAGTAAAGATAGGACTGTAGCATTAAAAAAATTACGTAATTTGCAAACTATTTCTGATGAATTTCTCTATGAGGTAAATTATTTTATTCTTTATTTATTTTCAGATTTTCTAAATATTTACTTTGAAATTCAATATATTTTTTTTATATAGTTTAGAAATTATGTTACATTTTTTGATGAACCATTTATAAATAAAATTTATGGATTTACACAAGATCCAGCTACAAAAGAACATATCTTTGTAATGAAATACATGGATGATGGAAGTCTTCAAGATTATGAAGATCCATATATTAGATATGAAAAGTTTGGGGAATGTCCAACCTGCAATAGATATAATACCAGTTGGGCATGGTGTCAATCATGTGATCCAAAGCTATTAACTGAAGGATGGACTAGTGGCAATGAAGCATTAGATGAATTGATTAAAAGTACACAACTTAAAGCAACAAGATATGATAATTATTATTATCTTCAATGGATTCCTTATAATGATTTAACAAATATTGAAAAGATAGGTGAAGGTGGGTTTGCAACTATATCCAAAGCTACTTGGTTAAATGGTAGTAAATATTCAAATGTAAATAATAAAAGAATTATTGGTGATATGACTGTGGCATTAAAACAATTACACAATTCACAGAATATTTCTGATGAATTTCTTAATGAGGTAATTATTTTTAGATTTTTTTAAATATTATTGGTTATTATTGTTGTAATTAAATATTCTATTTATTATTATTTAGTTCAAAAATTATATGAAATTTCATGATAAAAATGATATAATTCATATTTATGGATTAATGCAAGATCCAATTACAAAAGAATATATATTTGTAATGGCATATATGAAAGATGGAAATCTTCAAAATTATTTAATTAAAAATTTTAAAAATTTAAAATGGGAACAAAAAATTCAAATTCTTTATCATATTATTAAAGGTTTAAAAAGTATTCATGAAAAAGAAATTATTCATCATGATCTTCATAGTGGTAATATTCTTCAAACAAACAAATGGGTTTCATATATTGCAGACTTGGGATTATCATGCCCAGCTAGTCAAATATCTGCATCAAACAAAAATAATATATGTGGAGTGCTACCATATATTGCACCAGAAGTTTTAAAGAAGAAACCATATACAATGGCATCAGATGTATACAGTTTTGGAGTTCTGATGTCTGTAGTATCAGTTTGTCAACAGCCATTTAATAATTTGGCACATGATGTAGATCTTGCAATGAAAATATGTGAAGGTGTAAGACCAGGGTTTTCAAATAACACACCAACATTCTATATTGAACTAGCATTCAGATGCATGGATGCTAATCCAGATAAACGTCCAACTGCTGGAGAAATTTTTGAGATTATTGAAATTTGGAGGAATTCAACTAAATATCATCATGGACAAGAATCAATTCAAAAAGAGTTTAAGAAAATGGATGAAATAAAATTTGATCCTTCAACAATCACTAGAGCAATTCATCCAAATGCAATTTATACTAGCAGATTATTAAAATTTACAAACCTTCCCAAACCTGTTAATTCCAATAAAGTGACAATTATTGGTAATAATAATGGTAATTATTAACATTTAATCATTGATTATTTTCATTTTTTATTAATTTTAAAATTAATAATATCCATTCTTGTGATAAATATTTTGTAGATTCTAAACAAATTGAATTAGCCATACCAGATGACTTACTTGAATAAGTTAAGTCTTGTCATATTAAATTATTTATTATTTTATTTATTTGGCTACTATAGTTGTGATATTAAATATCTTGAGAAATGAAATTATATTTAATAATGACATTATAAAGGTAATAACTTCTCACAATTATCATTGGATTTTTTTTTCATTTGAAATTTGGATGTTAAATTTGCACACTAAAATAATGTAATTTTTAATAATCATTGTCACAAATATTTATCCAATCAAATAAATGTAGAGTAAATCGTTTGAGACCGAAAAATTAGTTAAAAGTTTGTTTTTAGAAAACACCAAAGGGAGACAATGTCAAATTACATCTGAAACTGAAGCAGAATCGAATATAAATCATTCTCCCAAAAACAAAAGCTTAATTAATCAGAAAACGTGTATTGTGAATTTTTTAGGCTTATTCATTTTATTGTAGAAACAATTTTTTTTAAACATAGCTTGTCATTATTTTGCACTGGTATTTCTGGTGTTAAACGTTTTGTAATGAAATAATACAATAAATTGAAAAGTCAGTGGTGTAAATGTTAGAATGTTATATATTTTTGCAAGTATCAATCGATATTGAGTCACTATAGCACTATTTTAGTCAATAACGAATAATTGTAGCAAGCAAGTCTTGTAATATTTAGTATGAGCCAAATATCGTTTTTTCTCGTTTTATTTAATTTTGCAATGAATTACTTGTATTGATAGGTGTACTCCGAGTCTTTTTATCATAATGAAAAACAATAAAGTTTCGTCCATACCAAGTTTGTGATATAAGATGGAGTGTGCAATGTACATCAGAATAAATAATATGGTGTGGGATGTGCATCGGGAAAATAAAAGTTCTGTACAATGTAAATGCAAAGTAAGCAATTGATTGATGTAGTTATACATTTAAATGAATACATGCTTTATGTAAAAGATGTGCAGTGTAGTCTGAAATTGATTTATTGAGACAGCGGGTTGCCGAGCTTGAAGCTAAGAATATGAGATTGAGACAGGTTATGGAAGAGAATTCCAAGCTGAAATGCAGAATCGAGGAGTTAGGAAAAAATAGAATGGATACTACCAATCTTGTGGCCGAGGATTCCGAGCAGAGTTGCAAAGAAATAGGAAAATTTGAGAAATATCACAAGATGATGATTCTTCCAATGACGGTTTATCCAATTCCAACTCTAAATTATTGGAGGATACAAATTCCCGAATTCTCTTTAAGAATGATTCTGACAGGATCTAATAAAGTTACAGCGCAAATTATAGTTGATTTATTTCATATAGCAATGCAAAAGAGATTTTATGCTGGTATTATTACTTTAATGCATATGGGGATCGAATTGAAGATGTTAAGCGTATAAATAATATTGATAATCAATTGGCAAGAACAATTACTTCTCCCTGATATTACTAATGTAAATTTGCGCCAGAGAACATTTAGAGCTAAAAAAATTTATGCATTATTTATGGGAATAGGGATGGATAGAATTAGTAGAATTAGACAATTAACTTATAGTACAAGTGTTATTTTAAGTCTAACAGAAAACCAAATACAAAATATTATACAAATTATAATGTGCACATGAGCGAAACTTCTGGTTCAAATGGTTTACCGGAAACTGAGGTAAGTGTTTCAACCACACACTCTATTCCATTGTCTCATATCTTTAACCATGTTGTGACCGCTTCCAGCAATTCTTCTTGTTCAAGTGATTTATCAAAAGTTGAGGTAAATGAGGAAGCGACGTTTCAAGTCTCCGACTCATACATTGCATTTCCTATCCATTTGACTCATATATCTCTAATTCTTCAAGTTTTGTCGACGATGATGAGACAAATGATATGAGTATAATATAATGTACACTGATGTTGAGGATTCGTGAGGGATTCAAGTAGTGGAAAAATTTTTTATAAAGAATCCATGGAATGGACATGCTCTGCATGACCTACTATATTTTGATCGTTTAATATATATATTTAAAAATGATTGTGAACATGCATTAACGACATCAAAAATTATGATCCCATAGGACCCTATTTTATTGATATAAAAACATCGCTGAAACAAAGATATATAAATAAAAAATTATATACATGTTGGTGGAATTTCACATTTGGTCTAACATTTCGCTCCGTTGACCAGGATTAATACGATCATTGTCACCATTTTCCTCATCTTTTTTTTTAATTTTTCTCTCGAAAGTTTTTCCCAGTGTCTACCATTATCAACGTTATAGTCATCGTCTCCTAAAGAGGGATCATAGGTCGAATTATCCGATTTAATGCATAGGATACACAGATACAGTCTGGTAAAATGAAATTTAGTCTTGCTAATTTCACTAATATATGAAGTGCATTTTTTAACAAAGACACATACCAAACCTATCTTTCTTATTTTCGTAATTGGTTTTAGATGATTTTGATCTAGAAGATTTTTGTTTGAACAATGTTGGGTTATTAGTATTGTTAGTATTAGAAACATTAGAGTCACTAACATTGGGAGCATTAGAATTATTAGTATTGCTCATTTTGTACTTTTAAATAAAAAAATTCATAATTAGTAGAATCTCACTTTCTTTTTTGTAACATAAAAGCCCAACCTGTAAAATAATACATAATACAGTGTATTTTTAATTTACCTACAAGCCTACTGCGAGGTAGCTTTTGGTCAATGTCGATTATTTTACATTTATGGCCGAGTTCAAATTAACTTTTGAGCTACATTTGCCGATTAATTGCTCGTCAATTAATTTGATTTACGAATTTATCCTGCATTCTTGCATCTAGAAAGTTTCGAAGCACACTTTTGTGGTGCGATGAACAATAAATAAACGTGATTCTATTATAAAGCAATGAGTGCTTTACTGAAATTCTTTGTTTGTTTATTTTTCTTGAGCTGATCAAATTCACTCGTACGTTTGCAACAATACTTTAACATATTACATGTGATAATGACTTTGTTAATAAATGTCAGCACTTTATATCTGGCCGAATAATCTTAACACCTTACGTTTACACAAAAACACTTGTTCTTTTACAAAAACCAAAAATTAAACCTTTGCTTTCTATCAAAACAAATAACCAAAACCGAGTTACAAAACCTCAGAGTTCTGTGCCACTCTGATAACCAAATGGACAATCAAATCCTACCGTTTAATTTCCGACTACAAGAATTATTTAATTCATAAACAGTTGATTGTTAAGTAGTTACTAACTAATAGTAGATAGTCATTATCATTTTTCGCTTGGTCAAAATAATTTTATATAATAACAAGTGTCAGCCAATCATATTGCTAACATGTGACCCATATCCTCCGTCCTCGCATTATTATGACATTATAACAATCGAAAATGGGTGTCTAAATGTATTCATGACATTGACATTGCGACATGTCAAAAGTCATAATAGTTTGGGCTACATGTATAACCAGGCAGGATGACAAAATTAGCTCCATATCGGAGTTCAAATAATATTGTTTCTGTTAACCTTATCCTAACCATCATTTATTGAATCAACCTATTAACATCAGCAGAAATAATTCTCTATTCAATAACCTGTGTTGTATCTGTAGAAAATTGCCATTGAGAATGATTCCAGTCGGCACAAAAATATATTGTATATATAGGATTAAAACCTGGTGGTGGCGTCAAAATGGTTCGTTCAGCAGACAACTTGTGTCTAGAGTAATATTGTTTGACGAAATGTTAAAGTTGTAAACTATTACGTCCAATTCGCCGCCATTAAGTCAAAAATGACGCAAGTAAAATTGCTAAGCTCACAAAAAAACTTATAAAATGTGTGTATCCCAATCTTTTCCACCACTCATTTACTACTAAATTCAACCATTTCTTATATTAATAATGGTGATACATGTTCGGGGTAGATAAAGCCATTGACTTTATGTTCCAGGGTCAACTAATTTTAGTGTATAATTATTATTATCCCCCGTGTAACCTCATTTATACCATTTTTCAGTTTGTACTTATACCCACTAGAAAAATTCAAGCTCAGTTG